TCGCTGGAGGCCATCGCTATAAGGGTAGAGGCCATCGCTACTAGGGTAGAGGCCATCGCTAGTAGGGTGGAGGCAATCGCTATTAGGTTGGAGTCCATCGCTACTAGGGTGGAGGCCATCGCTATCAGGGTGGAGGCCATCGCTACTAGGGTGCAGGCCTTCGCTATTAGGGTGGAGGCCATCGCTATTAGGGTGGAGGCCATCGCTATTAGGGTGGAGGCCATCACTATTGGGGTGGAGGCCATCACTATTAGGGTGGAGGCCATCGCTACCAGGGTGAAGGCCATCGCTACTAGGGTGAAGACCATCGCAAGTATATTGGAGTTCATCGCAAGTAGGTTGGATGCATGGCAAGTTGGTTGGAGGCCATCGCCACAAGGGTGGAGGCCATCGGTACTAGGGTGCTGGCCAGGAGGCCATCGCCATAAAGGTGGAGGCCATCGCCACTAGGGTCCAAGTACTCTGTGTAAGCCCAAACTTGGTCTTCCTCGCTCTCCCGGCAGGGCAGGGCAAAACAGGAATGATGTTGACGCTTTCGTGTTCCTCGGAGGAAACCTTCAAGGCTCAATATTTCCTCCACGCTCACTTAGACTATGACAAAGAGAAGGAGGAGGCACCACCAAAGCAACATGCTGTTCGCTGGTCGGAAACGTTTGCTTGCCGTCGGGGCAAACCCCCCGTGGACACAGCAGCTCTAAGCCTTGCTTGTTACTTCAGTGTTTCTCAGTTGATTGTCAGGTCGTCAAAGAGGACATGAGGTGGTTGGAAGAGCGCCTGGCAATTGAAAATTCTGTGGAGCTGTACAATCATGATACCTACAAGCCAAAAGCGCTTTGGCAGTGAAAATCAATGGTACCATCAAACAAGAAAGCGAGATCTACGACCTAACAAGTTGAAGCTCAGGTAACTGTGGGGAATGGCCGAGTTGATGTCAGGCGGCTCTGTCGTGTTTGGTCTGTTTGTTTTTAGTTTTGGCTACTAGTAGCTACTTGCTCCTAGTAGCGATGCCAGGAGCCTCTAGTAGCATCCTTGCTCGCCTAAGTGCCAACAAGGTCCAAAATAGGATTCTCTAAGAACATCTAGTGCCGTTCCTGTTGCCAAAGTCCTCAAAGAAGCTTTATGACAGCAAACAGTTCGCAAGAGAAAACGCAGCATATAAATGTTTAGTATGTTGAAGTTTGGTATGTGTTTCTTCTGTTTCTTCTCGAAGCACCGCAGGTGGCTCATTCGGGGTGAGTTTGGCGAATCCCTCGAGCTGCAAGACTTCCCCTTCGACACGCAGGTGAGAGCTCCGACGCGAGCGACGCAAGCGAAGCAGCTCTTTTGCTCATTGAGTCAGACGATTTCCAAGGAAGCTTCTAATTACTAGAAAGCTTCTAGTTCCTGAGCAGCTTCAAAGACATACTAGAAAGCTTCATTGTTACTACAGGTGAAATGATTCCCAGTGAAACGATTCCCAAGGAGGCTTCTAGTTACTAGAAAGCTTCTAGTTCCTGAGCAGCTTCAAAGACATACTAGAAAGCTTCATTGTTACTACAGGTGAAACGATTCCCAGTGAAACGATTCCCAAGGAAGCTTCTATTTACTAGAAAGCTTCTAGCTACTAGCTACTGAGAAGCTTCACAGACATACTAGAAAGCTTCATTGTTACTACGGGTGAACCGATTGCCAGTGAAACGATTCCCAAGGAGGCTTCTAGTTACTAGAAAGCTTCTAGTTACTGATAAGCTTCAAAGACATACTAGAAAGCTTCATTGTTACTACAGGTGAAACGGTTTCCAGTGAAACGATTCCTAAGGAAGCTTCTAGTTACTAGAAAGCATTACTAAGAAGCTTCAAACACATACTAGAAAGCTGCATTGTTGCTACAGATGAACCGATTCCCAGTGAAACGATTCCTAAGGAA